AGGATGTGACATCTTGCAACGGCACTATTCAATTAGTAATTGAGTGACAGTTCGAGTATACGATACATAATTCCACTGGAGAACATTGATCGTGTGAAACAACTTATTAAAGTTTTGTCTTATTTTAAAATAGTGTACTTGTAGAAAATAAAATGAAATTTACGCAATCGGCAATGAAACCGAACTCATTTTCATCCTCCGAATTCTGATTATAGTTATTAATAATAATACTATCCATTAAACATCAAGGCAACGCTCAAGAAATATATGCCTGCCAAACTTCATTGATCTTTATGCCACGTTCATAATGCGACATCAAATACGTCTGTGAACTCTTGGAAATTACCCAGTTAATTTAGCAATTTATGATAGCGAAATGCTTCCCAACCTGCGCCACAAAACTGAACCTTAAGCTGCACTCCTAACTATGATGTGTGCATCAGCAAGTTGAACCAATGTACATGTCTTGTTGAAAAATATCACTGTCGTGTTCAGAAATAGGGGTTCAGGGATCCGGATATTTTTTGAAGGTTCAGCAAAAGCGAAATTATGCCAGCCATCACGCTGAAATGAACAATGGGATTTCTAACACACTTATGGACGATAATTTTTGCAGCGGCAACTAAACAACCAAGCACTAGGGCGGTAGTTCTTTTCGACAAAGTTCCGTTCCACCGACGAGTGGGTGGGTAAAGCAATACTGGCTGGCATATTAACAAATATCTTCCAAATTATATTATATTTGTTTCAGTCCGATGGAGGATGCATTCAGTGTATTCAAACGAACAGAGAGTAAACTTTTACATAAAAACGAGGACCAGATTTAGAGTTTCCAGAAGATGAAACCATCATAGATCATTAACTTCGAATTTTGGTTCGGATTTGCAAACAAGTAGTTGATCGGGTCTCGACCGCTTCGCATGCTGCATTTGAAAGGCGCATTTTTGCTTCTGTCGAATCCTCTAAACACTATTCAAATCCTAAATCAAGGACCCATTTTTGGAAACACTTACAAACTGTTAAGTTTCTTGTTCCGAAGGGTTTTTGGCAAAACTGAATCAAATTACCGGGCAAAGAGAAATTAGGAATGTCACGAAGTTTCACTCTTTCATATCCTGTTATTTTACCAAAATTTGAGACATAATAATGATTCATCTATTTTAGAAATAACGTGAAGGTGGGAAATTCCAAATACTGCACAGTCTATGGGTAAAGGATTGACGCCGGCCATCTAGTCGACAATTTTGGAGCAATAACTTGAATGGATGTCACCTGAGGTGAAGGTTGGTTGATAAAAAGAGCAGTAAACTACAGGAGGTTCAGGGTTGTTCTTTAGTTAGTGTACCAAAATCATGTCTTCTTGAATTTGACGATATTGGTTTGAGTACATCCACCGTAATTGGAGTCTCTCCACGTAGGTCTTGAAATTTAGTCCCTTGAATATCTGGATGGACATTCCGAAATCTTTCGATCGCGTTGCAGATCTGAATTCTACACTTTAATGACGTACTCAACGTGGGGTCTAATGTAGGCTGTTAGCAAACTCGGAAATGAGATAGGTTCGAATTTACCAAACCCATACTTCTGAAGTGATATCTTTTTTCTTGTTCGAGTAGGAAATGTTCTCCTGATTCACAATAGGATGCCAAGTCACGTAACTGATTCAAAACTTCACACTCGCCGTGACCTTATGCTTTTGAGCGGGGTATTAGGAAGGCGTCCATGCGTGGGTTCGAATCCCACCGAGGCTACTGAACTTTTCACAATCGACATACAAACTTCAAATCTGCCAAACAACTATTAGGAAGGTGTTTATTCTGACCCATGTCACGTGTGCTCAAGTACCATCAGCAGAGGCAACTAAACGACGAGAAAACCCATATTCATACCCTAAATGAGCTTTGTATTCCAGCAAACCCATGGGAAAAACTGTCCAGACATCTGTGATTCAAACTTTGCAGGGTCCGCTGTTTATGCAGTCCTGAGGAGTAATCCCAAGTGTGAGACTCTTGCCCAGGGCTTTCCAAGTATATAGTCACGAATGGCGTTCAAACTAGATCATTATGATCAATCAATTCAGTGAAAACATCTGGTAACAGGTTGCTTAACCGTAATCTTAGTTAACTCCTCAGGAACTAACTTCGCTCCACCTTAATAAGTAATTATTTTCCCTCGCTTTTGCCTCTGCTCCTTCTAGTTCCAACAGGTCTGGATGAACGGGGCATTTAAGCATTCACAAAGTGATTGTGAACAAATTAAACGTTTTGCAATAAATACGTCGATAGAAATTCATGGGCATTAAAAAAACTACTGCTTGCTGATATGGAAACACCCAAAATGCGTATTGGATAATCGAAGCGGTGGTCATGATTTTTTTCAAGTTCATCAGCTCTGTCCCACTTTATCACTTTTTATATACCCCGGGAATCCCTCTGACTATTTGCTCTTCCTTCCTAAACTCCGTTTATCTAATTTTCTGTGGAGTACAACAAAGTTAGATACTATGAATGGTACTAACAGTAAGCTCTGATTGAGCTTATGAAGCTTCGACTTTTGCTCAGTGAGACAAATGAATTTACTATTTACAAACTGTTCAGAAGATCAGTAACGTTAAAAGTATTGCCGCGAATTTTGTATTACACATCACCTGGTCAATGAAATGGGACACAGTCGTTCAGAGTAGTGAACCGTAATCAGTAAGCAGACAAATGTGTTATCCTTCTCGTCTAACAAAACATTATTATCTCATTAAAGTTCAGAGCGTTTTCGTGAACTAGGTAACAAGTTTGGCCGTTTAGTTTTCGAACGGGACATTCAAAGACTCACTTACACCGATCTTCAGTCACTAATAACTTACCAGGACAGTGTGCTGAGGTACCAGCATACTGTCTGACAGAAAAATTGAACTATCTCGAAACCAATTTGGTGCAGGCTTTATAGCACTCAATAAGGTTGATTTTAGCACCTGAACGAGTTTAAGTGAAAAAAGTATTTGAGAGGCGAAACATCCGTATTATAAAGTGTATTGAAAACACTTCGGTTGTATACACAGCAGCAAAAGCAATTTTCTATGAACTAAGATGAGTCTGTTACAAAAGGTATGTCCACTTAATAAAACCAGAGGGATTGGTCTTATTGTTGCATCAACCAACTTTTAATTTCGAATCGTGCTATACCGTCCACCTGGGGAAACTTATAGTGCGCGCCTTAATTCTAAACAGAGAAATCGCTTATACACCGAATATAACTGAACTCGATTAGCTGGTTTGTCCTTAACCGGTGTAAACGGGATTTGTCCTCAACTGTACGCTTACGAGGCATAATTAATCACAAATGGGCTCAGGCAGACTAATTTTCTTGACACGATTAGATTAACGAAATGGGTATTCAACAGCGTCAACCAGTCACATTTCTGGCTTAACTCTTCTCTTGAGATAACTTGAACTACATACCGCACGCGCTTGGTGAGTAGCCAACCTCTCAATTGGGAGGCAGTCCAGCTTGAAACAACGCTATGTTGCTCAATAAACGTATATGTGAAACCAATAGGTAAATACTAAATGTTCCATGCTTTTTCAAATAAAGATGCTTGAATAGAACAAGAATAAAAAGTCTGAACATAAAGAAACTGCGCGAATAACTTCTTTGTGTCGCTGGGTCCATGAGACTCTGGATGGGATGCACTCAGCTCATTTGGTCCAGAAATGTTATGTTAGTCAAATGTAAATAAACGATCCATAAGGATCTTGTAGAGTGAAACCCGTAGTCCATCGATGGACACAGCAAACATCGCACAATGCTTGCAACAATTCGAATACGTCAGTCCATTCGAGGACAGAACTGGAAACTTTACTTCGAGTTGGGTCAAGGTTCCGTTTGGTTTGAGCTTTGTCTAACTTGGTGACAATTAGGCAAACACATTTATCGCTGCATTCTTCTGGATACTCAATTAATCGCTGAGGTCTGAGCAGTAAGTTAGCTGACATATCATTCATCACTAGTAACTGCATTACTGCGCCATTTTTGTCTAATTTCCAAGCTTGACAACAACTGAACAAGAATGGCAGATTCATAGCTGTTCACTTACGAACCAACTTCATGATGGTTCAATTGAACACTTGACAAGAATGTTTGTAAAACGTACAACTTTAAAAGTACCATGTATTTCCATGCGATAATGTACGGCTTAACTAACGCAGGAAAATAATATCACCTACTGGTGACAGTACAGAGCTTCGCAAGGTAATATCCCTCAACTTTGTCGGAGATTAAGCCAATCTCGGCGAACAGGCGAAATGGAATTCAGTTCACCCGAGATACGAGAACCGATTTTCAATATTTTGTTAATTCTGTTAACCAACAGGAACAACTCAACTTGGTTGTAGCTGGCGTCTCCTGTGCGTGTTGTAGTAAATCAAAAACACCACGGGCCGGACAATTTTTTCGATGAAGAAACTCTTGTAACCTTCCCCAATGTGCACCGACCCAAACAGCATTAGGACTACTTGTTTTAAAAAGAGATCTCCGATTTTGATCTTCCCCGTAAGTGGAAAATAGAAACAGTTATTATTCTAGTGTTACATTGGATGGGAACCGATAAAAGCTCGAACAATAAAGATCATAACACTCAAATGTCCTAAGCAAATCCCACTGGATACGTTTAACATGCGATTCCGCGTTGTTCGTAACACAAGTAAATATACTTTGGGCGGCAAATGCTTGGAGCATGGCAAACACAGAGGGGCAGAGATAATGATATGCGCCAGAAACAAGATCACAGAAGCACATGAAGTGTGTACAGAAAAGTAACATGGCCAGATCAATGTGTTTTCACAATTCCCTTTCGGATGTCCGGCGGGAACGGGTGTAAACGAAGAACTGCACGTATGAAGGAGCGGTGGAGAAGCCGATTGTTCTTATTTTTGGTTAATCCGGGCCACATGTCATGCGGATATTAGCAAAAATCACAATCGGGAAATGGTCGGAGCAAGAAAAGAACGCTATTTCAGTTTTCCGCGGGTATTCACGGATTTGATTACCCACTCCATTCCTTCCTGGAATAAGAAAATGAACCGGTCGAATTCATCTTTTTTAATGGACTTTGTTAAGATTGAGTTAAAGCAACAGCAACAACAGTTTGAACTGAAATTCGTATGTAAAAAAATCATTTCAATTTTGGTCGAGTTGACTCTAATTGTTACTGAAAAACAAATAAAACTCCGTTATTACGAGACGATCTAAGGAGTTAACACAATATAGATACATCTACTCACACCTTCACTCTTTAACCCTAACTAGCAATTGAGATCGAGTCAAAGAATGACTGAGTAAACTACAAAACATCCATAGTACATTTCGTGCGCTATATTTTACAACACCAAACTAAAAAGCCAATTAAAATGTAATCTAAATCATAAGGTGGAATACCCATTATTAAACTGATTCTATTCCAAAGAATGCAACTGAGTTTCAAAGGTTGAAGGTGAGCATCTTACCTGTATGCCTTTTCCTGTCAAAGCAGAGCAACCCTGTATTTGCCACGGTCTATCGCGAATCGTCAACAGACCAAGACCATCGGAGATTTTATCCGCGGGCTCCGCAGTAAGCAAGTCTTGTTTGTTTGCAAAAACGATGAAAGGCACTCCCACTAGTTTGTCTTCTGCCAACAACTCTGACAATTCCTAATCAGGAAATGAGATTCATAGTATTTTTAAAACCTCATTTGAGAACTTGGTTGAATTTTCATAACCTTATCATTTTGGAAACTATCATTGTGAAACCGATTTGAAGACAAAACGTATGGCAAAGATCAAATGTGCAGATATGTGACTGATGGGTATAAGTATACAGAGGAGGCAAACTTTCGCACTAGCACCCTTTTATGCAACATTAAGCCAAATTTTTTGAAGTAATTTTTATAGTTCATGTTGACCACTGGACAAAATTTCCAACGAGTGCGAGACCGGCTTCCTACCATTCATAGACACTTCCCTTCATTACTCTCTTGTTATAATAGTAGTGGTCTTGATATGAATCGGGCTGCAACATCCCCGTGCCAGATAAGTAGCAAGAACCGTAAACCGACAACGTGATTTTGGAAAATTTTTAGTTATAAACCATTAGTTATAAAGCAAGAGAAATTGGGCCATGGTGATGAGTTTCCTGGGTTTGCATTCACTTCATAAAAGCTATTACAGAATCATCAAACTTGTCCTCTGAACTTAGTTTTTCTAAGAAGAACTCATTATAGTTCAGCTGAATGTATACAGATATCCTTCAGCAAAATGTTTTATGGAATAAGAAGAAACGCGAACTGGCTGGTAATATTTGCATCCACCTAAAGGGCAACCTCACCAAAAAGGAACTTTTTCAGCCGTATTGGTACCTCGTCTTTTCAAACACACAATTTTCAAATAAAGTCCAATAGGGGCACTCTGCTTTGAAACCTCACTAGTTTTGCTGGTTTCTGATTTCAAAGTACAACGATTCGTGTGGTTGTAAAATGGGTATTAATTTAAACGTCAAATGATGTGATAAATTCAAAGTCAAAGTCAAAGTGAAATCTTAACATGGACTTGGCAAATGGGAAGATGGATAAATCTCCAACTGAAATATTCGGAAAAAGCATATATGAGGTACAACTAATAAATTGAATAAAGAAAACCAGCTTCTGACCCACAAAAAGAACAACTTTATTGAATGACTATGTAGAACTCCCTGATAAATGGTCAAAATTAAAGGGTAGAAAAGCATGATTTTCAGGAAAAAGGAATGAAGACGAAAGTTCATTAAAATTAAACTTCATCTGTTATTTGTTACCTTTACCTTGATTTGCTAAACGTTTCACCTTAAGTGTAAACAAACACTACTTTTCAACATACAAAATTGTTTCGCAGTTACGTGTGAGTTGTGCTGTGGGACAATTGATACTGCTTTCAACTAACTGTCCTTTGGACTTCACCGTCTCCAGTGGAGTTCAACAAGGCTGCCCTATATCTCCATTCCTTTTCAACTGACATAGAGGATGGTCCACAGAATGCTTTGTCCGGTCTAGCAAACGGTGGAGTCCAACTCCTCCCAGGGAATAGAGTTCTTGACTTGGAATATGCCGATGACATCGCCTTGCTGAGTGACAACACACAGGCAGTCCAAGAGGCTTTGAACCGCTCGGTGATCGAGGTATCCAGGTATGGTATGTGCTTTGCACCTTCCAGGTGCTGGTTCTAGACTGGCAGGATCCTGTGCCTGCACTCACCATCTAAGGTGATCAGCTAGAAGTAGTTGAGCTTGATCGTAGCTGCTGGTGGTGTTGGGGACGAGATCACATTACGAACAGCGAAAGCTAGAGTAGCTTTCGCCAACCTACAACACCTGTAGCTCCGCCATGACATCTGACTGTCCCTTGAGGGAAGGGTGTACATTGCCGCAGTTCGTAGTGTTCTGCTTTACGGTTGCGAGACCTTGCCTCTCCGAGCGGTGGATGCCAATCGACCACCGATGTCTGCGAAGCATCGCTCGTGTCTGGTGGGAACATCGGGTGAGCAATGACGAGGTCCGTCATCATGTGTTGGGTGCGGATAGTCGTTCTCTAACAGAACTAATCGCTCTACACCGCCTCCGATGGCTTGGTCACGTATTGCGTAAGCTTGTCCATCGACTACCTTTTTGTGCTCTCTTCGCACGCGCCGGGTAAGGCTGGAAGAAGCGACGCGGCGGTCAGACCTTGACATGGGCTAAAGGCATGAGGAGGTGGCTTCAGCTTTGGCTTTGGTTGGTGCAGCCCGCCTTTCAGGGTGGGACCCAAAGGATGAGGATTGTCGTTGGTTAGAGACTCTGAGAGATATGGCCCGGAATAGAAGTCAGTGGCGCGAATGCTGTACGGTTTACCTGTCGAAATTCCGTGCCCCGTAAGAACCACAAACAAACAAAAATTTCAAAAAGTGTACGGTGCAACACCCAAGAAGTTGTTATTCCACTGATTTGTAATCTTCTATTCTGACAGCTACATCTTTTCCCTATACTCTGTACCCCACCCCACTCCCCTCGTTATTGTTATTGTTAATATTGTTATGGCGTTGGCACCAAGCTTGTTCTCAAGCCGGTGTTAAATATATATATATATATATATATATATATATTCACCCTCAAGCACAATCGTCAGTTCATGCAACCAACCAACTCAACTCAGAAAAACTTGAGTCGAGTTTTGTTCTCATTAGAGCTCATCGGTAATTCATACCAAACGTCCCGTTCGGGTTTGGGCTTCCGGACCTAGCGCAGGAAATAAGAGCGTGTTATCAGTGTCCACCATTTTGTACTAGGGCCGAACCGAATCGCCAGTTCATGCTTGTTCCAATGTCGTCTACAGTCAGTTCATTTGGGCTCGACAGCATCCAAGGGCGACACACGTAACTATGTGCTAAATTTAATCCAAAGTCTCCCACCAAGTCATGACTCCCATTCAGGTTACGGAGTGACTTGCTATATACCTACTGGGCTGGGCTGAGCTAGTTGACATGGGGAAAACACACACGATATCCATGGTTCAAAACTCGGACAAGATCGTGGACATTTGGTAATAATGAGCTCTACTGAGAGCGAACTCGAGTTCAGTTCGTGTACGGTTGACTGGATGAACTGAGAATTGTGCATAAAGATGAAGTTCAACTCAAAACTTTTTCGGTAAATTCCCCAGAATTTTGTAGAAAAAAATTGATTTTACTTTTCATGAAAACTATTGTTCCCCTTATCGGATACTTGTTTACTTATAAATTGAACAAACTTTCATTATAAGAAAAACATACGACTGCTACACTTCAAGCTCACATAACCTCTACAGTGTCATAACTCATGACCCTCGCTTCGTAAAAAGGCAGTTAGGATACACTATACAGACATATCCTCGTCATAAACAGGCGGTACACAATTTCTCATGTTTCAAACTTTTGGAAGATCGAGAAGTTACAGCTTGAGAATTTGTGCCCCACAGCTGCACGACTTCCCGGGTAGCAGGTTGTCGGCTAATAGAGCGTTAACAGCCCGCTACATTTGAGCTATTAATGAGCTACGGCACCAAAATTGGAGCGCATTTGTGGGCCAATATTCGGCTAATAGCGCGCTAATAGCCGGCTACAATGAGCTACATTGAGGAATATCCCATTTTTTGTTTTCCGTCTTGTCCCGCCTCTAATCCCGTATCAACCCTATATTTCCACATGGAGTTACCATCTCGCCATGGCCTTCAGCGCATTTTGGGCGCTGATTAGAAAGCACTCTTTATGGAATTAATACTCCTAACCTGAGAGTTATTTGATTAAACTATCTATTAAAAAAGTCTTTAAATCGAAAGGAGTTACGAATAATTCTTTTACAGGTTAATTACCGTTTAATAACAAATGTAGCTCATGTAGCTCATAGGAAGCTCTTTGTGGCCGATCGATGCGAAACGTTTTGCTACCTGGGGTGTTGAGTCAAGATTCACAGATAAATTTGATTCCTAAAATAACTACTCTAATAACAGCCAGCGTGATCACGATGCTCTGCAGAAATAACAGGTCACCGTAAAGACTGTAGTCATATGAGGATGCCATGCCAGCACATGGAACGGTTTTGTGTCAGATTAGAGTCCCATTCGGACAATAGCACTGTCCATCGTCATTTTATGGCTCCGTTAATCTCCAGGTGGGATGAAGCCTACGTCCATTGTTCCTTTAGGGTCCTGGGAAGGATTCTCTCGAAAACATGTACCAATACATCTAATCATCGCAATGCTTAGGTGTATTAGATATCCATTAATATTAACCACTGTTAGCAATGCTGTTATTATTGCCGAACATGTGTATAAAGTGACTGATAAAATTCAATCTGTACAATAAAATCTATTCAAAACCTTAAACTATGAATGGCGAACATTAGTGTTATCAGTTGAATGAGATAAAAGCAAGATGAACATACTTCGCCTGTCTCCTCAAATCTCTTCTTGTCCGCGCTGTCAATTACGTAAATCTGTCAAAAAATTAGAAGCACGTTTTTCGGTATTACCAAAACGTCGGTGTTTTCGAAATAGTTTCTCCAGTATGGTCTAATTTTCCGCTGTCCACCGATATCCCAAACATTTAACTTGAAGCCTTGTGATTGAACGCTTTTGATGTTAAAGCCCTAAAATAGAAGCTTCAGCTTAAAATGAACCAACTTGTGTTGGAGTTGTTTGAGAAATATCTTCTGATGCCAAATGCTTCAGAATAGTCGTTTTTCCGGCATTGTCCAGACCGAGAAGTAAAATTCGAACCTCCTGGTCAGGCTTTGACTTAAGCTTTCTTAGGAGGTTAAGCAAACCCTAGATATTAAAATTTACTGTGATTAGATTTCCCATCAATGAACCATATCAACAAGATTGGGTGAACGAAGCTTTACCATTCAAAGATTCCAAAATAGACGCCTGTCACCAAAATAACTTTCGTCATAGTAGCCAGGTCATTTAAACAAAACTCTTGTGTGTCAATTAATCACGATTAAACTGCATCATCTTGCTAATAAATGCAAAACAACTCCTGCTGCTGATTGAATATAACGAGTCCTTTCTTTCCTTCCTTAAGACATGGACCAAATTCTGCAAAGCCTACCCGATGGTAGCCCGGTGGTAACGTCACCAAATTATCATCCCGAAAATGTGTGTTTGAATCCCACTACCACCACCTAATTTTCCCCATTGTATGTTGATTGGCAGCCTTTTAATTGGCTGCTTTCCCCTTCCTCAATATTGTATCTTTCTAAATTCAATAAAAAGAAGTAAAATGAAAAGAAAATGAAAAAGAAAAGATAGTTCATTTTAGTTCAATTTTGGCAGGACGATGTGTGACCCGGGCCAATCGCGCGGCCAGATGGATTTTCGTTGGCTACTGTTGTGGTTTTCAACACTGCGAGTCAATAGATTTTGTCTGAAAAGAAGAATGTGAGGTGTAGTATCACGTCCTAGACAGTGGCGCTCAGGACTAATAGGTACTCATCTTTAAATTGTTTCAGTGAATATAGAAGCCCAACAATCGTCTAAGGCCCTCTTGAAGGCTCTGACGTTCGAGTAACTTACAACATCCTGAAGTAAGCCTTTCCAGAACGATATTACGTGACTTGTAAATGTAGTAACACTACTGTGACTTTTCAACGCCATTCCCTTGAATATAGTAAAGGCCCTATTTTGTTTTATTGCCCTCCATAACGAGATC